AAAAACACGATAAATGGATTCGTCCTCGAATCATGAAACACCGTCTCACCACGGTTAACACTCCTGACCCTCCTGGCCAGCACCACCTGAGATCAACACCCGATCTCTGAAGTCTCATCTAGTCTCATACTTACAATCACGTTTAGACATTAATTTCTCATATCTCATACATATACACCCCTCCACTCTCAGGGTCGCAACCCTAGAGCTCTCGGTGTATCATACCCCTCCACCTTCTGGACCGCCGTCCGTCAGGCCCTCGGTATGCAGGGAAATCACTATCCCATCGAGCAATCAATTATGTAACATGCATCATAAGCACATGTCGACTAGACCTACCTCTTGTGGTTCCACCATGACATTCCAAACCCGGAATATCATCCCAACCATGACCCTAACCTAGGTCATCTGAAACAACCCAATCACACAGGGTGTTTCCACTCGAATCTCCAGGAAAAATAGACAGTTCTAACTCGCATAAAACTTCCATTCCCAGACTCCCAGAAATAGACAAGTCCAATTTACATACACTTCTATTTCCATCCTTGCACAACCTTTGACACCCGTCATACCATAAGAACTCACATCTTATAAAACTCAACATAAGAAAACACATCTTATGAACACCCAATAATAAGAACTCTCCATCTTATTAATCTCAATAATGTATAATCGTTATAACACAAAACAAAAATACATAACAACTAATAGCAACATGCTACCTGTTACACCCCTGACCCGGATTAGGTCAATGTTGATCCGATTGGCTGCGCAACAATCAAACAAGAACATGCGCAACTAACCGTAGACCCAGAACCAGACTAAAGATGCTACATATGTGCACTTAGACGTTTATTCCGAGGTTCTAGAAACACATTCAAGAATCCTAGTCTAAACGTTCAAGCACACATTTTCCTATCGAACACAACCCAAGGCTTTTCAACCCGAGTTATGAGCGATAGTTGGTTCGTCCCGACTAGGACTAGTATCATATGCAACCCAAGTTTAAACAAACTTCTTTTTTATA